GGCAGCCAGTAACGAGCAGCGCAAATTGTCAATGTGCTGAGTCCTGTACAACGAAACTTGCTTTGTAGAGAACTCGGATATGCAAAAAAATAGTACAAAACTTTCATTCATCAAACTAATCCGAAATAACTGCAAATATTAATAAATCGACAAGTCCGTTGGTGACTAAACAGTACAACTCAAACTCTGGTTCGCTGCCAATGATATGGCGTGTCCGCGGTCGCGCTTGGCGCTGAGCCAACCTGTTTTTTTCTCGACAAGCGACAGGACTACCATATCGTTCATATCAGACGTTTTCCAGCAGTTGGTCTCCTTTATCGGAGTCAGCGATTGGCGGAGCACGAATCTGGCAGCGTTGACAGGGACATGTACCAACGGAAAACACTGTAAACAAGTGCACAGCTGCCGTGGACCTCCTAACTTATAGACCATTGTTGCGTGAACAGAACACTTACGACAATTGGCACTATCCCATGACCTCTGCGCGCCGCCTCAGTGCGCCGGCACATCCAAGTTTGTGGCGTGATCGGCGCTAAACGAACCATATCCTGCTCCTGCTCCACCACAGGATACGTTCTACATGCGTTCCTGGCTATTCGAACACGCTCACTTGAAACGGTACACAGGAAACGGGTTTTTCGCGCAGCTGGGAGTGTTCCTCAAGAAATCCCCATAGCGAGATCTCATGAATCCCGAGAGCTTCAGAAACAGTTCAAGAGGTTTTTAGAAAGAGAAAATCTTCAAACACTCGAAACCATTCTCAGATTTGTGAAATGTTGAGTTACAAAAAAATATATTGATTCAAACCTGTTCGGTTGAAACCACTCCCCAACGAATCCCTATGGCAGATTTCTCTGTGATTTTTGCGACGTTCATAAACGTTTTAGTACTTTTAGGAAGTGCAAACCTTCCTCTAACCAGCGAACGCGTCTCTCTTCCTCACAGGTCCGCTTTTTGAGGAGTTGTGGTCCTTCAAAGACACCTAACCAGCTGGAAATTCTCGCTCCATGGCTAAAATTGCCGAATAATCTCCTGTCACAGCCGCAATTACATGCGCTTCTGGCTAGCCGTACCCCATAATCGTTGGTAATGCATTTTCCGGCGTTTGTTTCACGTTGCGTAGTAGACCAGCTAACTTTCTCTTTCCTCGTCCTCAATCTTGGGAATAGACGTTGTTAACACTGTGGTCGCTGATGGCCGCTCCCAGAGAGGGAGTCCACCTCAGGTTAACGAATGCTCATTGAATTAATCGCGATATAATCGTTATTATTACCATGTGTGTTTCCAAAACGACCATCGAAGAAGTTTATCATACGAGTTTCTCATAATACGATTGTACCGTTTTTTGTTTACAATCATTTCTGTATTGTTCTATTATGTCATGACTTCAAGTCGTCCATTTAGTATGGGCACCTTCATACAAGTAGAATTTCATAGTGGGCGTTTCATAGTTTCATTTAAGGCGAAAAAACCGAACGGCAAAAAAGGGGGGTCGTACCGAACCCCCAAAAAAAGGGGGGTCGTACAGGCTCGACCAAAATCCCCATCGAATGCTGTGCCCTGCAAACGTAAGTACAAGTTTCCCGCCCCCCCCCGCCCGTTCCTATTAGGCAAAGATCTCCTTGCCAACTCTGGCTTTCCGGTAATACATAATAAGCGATAGGCGGGTTAGAGTATACGCCAAAACAGTTTCTCGTATTTATACTTTTTTCTCTCCTGGCCTGTCCCTTTCAAACTTTTTTGGCGAATTCTAAATTTTATCATGTTATGGATGTCTGAATAAAATACGACATTTTTCTCTGAAAACCATGTAGTACGTGGTTTTTTTCCGCAACAACCAGTTTCAGGGTCTACAAGGTCACCATAATCCTTGCTATTTCCATATGCTGGAGATTTTACGACACTATCCTGGGTTGCCGTGCGAAATTACCTTTTTTTCTAATGTTAAAGAAAGGCCGAAATTTTTTAAACACAGAAATGCAAGCACGAACAAGGAAAAAGGGTCGAGCGGACACTGTTTCTACCTTGGCGACATCCCCTCGTCAATGAAGGAATGTTCAGGTCGCCGGAAAAACCACTAAGATAGCTGATATCATGATATTCGAGAGGGGGAGAGCTCGCCTTTCCCGCTTGGTTGCGATTACGGTGTATTCCTCCTTCTGGGTGTCTGGCCTGCGGTCGTAGCAGGATGATCTAACATTAATATCGGCTGAGGTTTTCGGCGTTATCGTCAGAACCCTGAAGAGTTCGCCCGATAAGCCTCCAAGCCGTGTAGGACTAATATCTCCAGCAGGACTGATCTCGGTGCCCTCGGCAAGCGCTGCGTGACGCTTTTCAAGAAAGGTAACCATTCAATGCGCGCTAAGCTGCAACATACCGACCCGCGCCCAAACGTGTCCGACCAAGCGTGATGCTCGAACCACTTCATGTGCGAAGTACAATCTGAGGCGAAGAGGTTGACATGAAGCTGCGATGCTACATGGATATTTGTGTACCATATATGCCACCCATCTATAACTAGCGGTTTGGCACGATGCCAACAGGAAACTCGTCTGAAATTGCCTTCTGAGTCGCGCGTAGGACAAAGGCATTCTTGTGGGTTTTTGACCATTTCTGTTCGCTTTTTCGCCACTTTCCCACCATTTAGCACCCCTGCTACCACTTTTGACAGAGCACCAAATCATCGCGCAAACTGCCTTTAAATGCACGACAAGTTCTGGTTGAGATTACCACAAAACTCCACTAAAGTCCATCAATCCATTGGCCCCATATTCTTGATTATTTTGCACTCAAGACTCTTACGAGCATTCTCTCACCAATACCTGGGTGTGTGTGACGCGAGAATTCCAATTCGCCGAGTCAGTGAGTGTCGCGTGCGGCGTCGCACCCACCAATGACGACAATTCTAGGTCGTATTGGTCGAGAATAGATAATGCATGACCAAAAACAGCCATAAGTATCCACGATATCCTAGTGTACATGCTTTGAACGGAAGGGTAATGAAAATGAGAAAGTCGCACGCCCATTGCCGCGTGCGACGGAGCGGCAGATGGCAATTCTCTTGTCCGTCTCCCGTAATACTTTTCCGCTTGGTAATACTTATGCTATTGAATTCGGCTAGGACGTCGATAGAGTAGGAGTCGTATAAGCTGCGCTTGTCTTGGCAAATACAGGTCGGTGGTAATCTACAAGCCCTCTAAACGTAAATTACCATCTTGCTGTTGGGAATACGACTGGGATCCATATGACCGTGTGTTCCGGCGCTAATAGCCCTCAGATTGGTTAGAAAAAGGTGTGCCTCTAGGTCAACTTGTTTCATGTTTATGGCGGCTATTTCGGTGCTCGGGGTGCCGTTCTTAAAGGCAGCGCCCGCGTTCAAATTTAATGAGTATGCGGCTCAGGTAGTAACAGCGAGGTAGCAAGAAGCCTATTAGTGAAGAAAAATCAAAGAGAAAACACGCAAAATGCCCTAGAAGGAGTTTCATACCGAACGGTTGTACGTGCTTAAGGCGAAGAGAAGGAGTGATTGCACGAGTTTCCACTTGTTCATATCAGCTGTTTTCCCTTATCACCTCACTCTCACCACTCCACGTGGAGAGAAGCAGCAATGGAACAACCGCACCATCAGGCAACCATTAGAAATGAAGTTGGGTGGCGTGGTCGGCAGGTGGGCGGAGCCGTCGGCTCTTTGCGGGCGGACGCCGCTGTTCCGTCGCATTTTTGGGTTGCGAAACATGCACGTCCACCATCCTCATAGGGGGAGCTACTAGGTCCAGAGAGGGCGTGAGAACAACAAATGAACGCGGGCGCTGCCTTTAACGAAGCGCTGGAAAACCAGCATTTTGTGATGGCGCGTAATATTTTTGTTCTAAAACTCCACAAAACAAGAATGCGTTACGATAGCCTTGAGGACAGCGAAGTTAGCCATTGGAGAAAACAACTTCGTACAGCGTACTGCGTCCGAAAAGGAGTGTTGCTTTCCATTAGCTACATTGGTAGATACAAAATATAGAAATCCGAGAATTGAGGTCTTCCTGAGTCGACTGCTATTCGACCGCACTGGGGCGGAAACTGCTGTGACATTATCCCGACCAATGCAGTGTGGTTGATTTCGTCATAATAGTCTTCAAGGCGTCGGAAGTGAAGAAATGAGCCCGCTCACCGGCTGCTTTTTCTACCAGTAGTGCTCGAATAGTGATTCACTCAGGAAGAAAACATCTATCGGTAAAGGACGCCGCGGGAGCGCCCACTTCATGCCTCCTGACACCGCCCGAGTCATTGCTGCGATATCTACAGTGTGTATATGTATTGGGTCGGTAGGTGGGGCAGATGAGCAGGTCAAAGTCGTTCGAATATAAACTTTAAAGGCAAATGGCACCATAAATCCCTAAGACGAGTAGGATTAATACGCCTGGCAGGACGGAATTCCGCGACCCTGAGCAGGCGCTGCGTAGCGCCTTTTCCAAGGAAGGTACCCTTATAAGGCCCTATCAAGCTGCAACATACCGACCCGAACGCCCACCGCGCCCGCCCGCCCACAAATGGACGACCGTACCTGATGCTCGTATTGCTTCATTTGCTAAGTAAAATATGAAGCGAAGGGATTGGTATGAAGCGGCTGCGGTGCTGCATGGATATATGAGTACACAGGTGCAGCCATATCTACCTCTACTATATAGCCATTATTGGCACGATGTCTACGGGAAACTCGTCCGAAATTACTCTAAAGCTCATGAATAATGAAGGTCTTGCTTCGCAGGTTTTTGACGGAAGACTCCCCCCTCCCCCCACTGAAACATGGATATGTTGATGTTGCGTAAAGTTGAAGAGGTGTGAACTGAGGATGGCTGAGCCATGAGAACTGCCGTTCTTGACGTGGAATGGACCCTTGGATTCGTTAAGCAATGCGAGTGTGAGTGAGGCAGCCCCCTTACTAGTCCATTGGGCCCTGCTCTAATGAACTGTACACTTGGTAATCAAATCTATATTTATTTCCAATGTCAACCATTGAAATGGAACTGCAATATACTTATAGACTTCCCTCGTTTTAACGACGTGTACCATCCTCAAAGAATACACCTCCATCAATAGCACAATATTTGGGACAAATTCCTTGCTCTCCTGGGGGTCCTGGTCTTCCTGGCGGGCCGGGTTCGCCTGGATTTCCAGGCTGTCCAGGTTCGCCATTTGGCCCATTCGGTCCCTTCGGTCCCATTTGACCTAAGATATAAACAAAAAGTCAATAGCAAGAAATTACTTGACAACGAGTGAAACTAACCTGGTGCTCCTGGTGCGCCAGGTAAGGCCGTCCGGTCCAGGAGGTCCTTGAGGTCCAGGTGGTCCAGGTGGCCCTGGTTCTCCGGGAATGATGCCTTCTGACACCGCATCTTCACCAGGAAGACCTGGATTACCAGGTGCTCCGGGATTTCCTGCGGGGCCGGGAGGTCCTTTTGGTCCAGGTGGACCTTGAGCACCATCGAGGCCTGCCATTCCAGGTGCGCCATTGGGTCCAGGATTGCCTGGTGGTCCTTGCATTCCAGGTGGTCCAGGTGGACCTGGAGGGCATGGGCGGCATGGAGGAGGTGTGATTGGTTCGCAAGGTTGCTGTGGCGGGCGTCCAGGTGCTCCGGGAGCTCCTGGTACTCCTGGTTTGCCGGGTCGACCGGGTCGTCCTGGTGGTCCGGCTGGACCAGGCGGTCCTGGTAAGCAGCATGCTTCGCAGCCCGTAGTCGTTTCACCAACTACGGCGGCGTCACCGTAACCTGCTTGACGTGCAGTCCTGTTAGCCGTCGGGATCTTCTTCAGGTGGCTCACTTCTCGGAGAATATCTTTTGCGGAACCCTTAACGCTTCATACTAAATTCCGTGAAGGGCAATGAAATAGTAATGAGTACTATCACAATGAAAGACTTACTCTGCAGAAATGGACTTCGTTGTGCATCGTGTGTTTAACATTATGTACATAGTTATAGACCATAGGTAACGTGACACATACGGACAGCACGGCGACGACGGAGAACGTAACCGCTGAATAGGCGACGAAGCGGTACGCCTTAACCCGTTGCTCCAGATCCATGGACGTGCTGCTCGAGTGGACTGATCTGGTCGCAGATGACGGTTATCGAACGATCGACGCCTTATATAGGGAACGTCGTAGGCGCCCACTGTCTGACGCCCTCTTCTGCTGCAAGTCATCAAGCGGCAGCCGTTGTGCTGAGAAAAAAAACCAGCGCACACACACACACATACGCCAGAGACGACACCGCGAACACCTCCGTTGCTGGAATTTGCTAGTACTTCATTTATTTCAAAAACCGGTCTCCCAGCAAAACCACCTTCTGCCCTAAAATTTCACCTTCTTTTCAAGGGCATTTCGTCCCTTTCGGCAAGCACAGAACAAGTTCAGTTTTCTGAACGTTGATTGGCAACATTTGTAAAACCCAAAATCTTTGCGATGTGTCGTTGTTCGTGTAAAGTTCTTCTGGATTGAATCACACCTCGTTCCTCTCACCTTTTGCTCCATCATTGCGATCGAACAAAAGTAATTGCAGAATGTCTCGAACTTTCTGTCCTCAACTGAAGTTGAGAAACACCTCATCTAGGCGGGCATTTTCGGCTTGTTTTTAAGGTCCAGTTGAACAGCTCTGAAAAGCACAGGCTTAGATCTCCTAATCTTACCAAAAATCCGGTCATGGGAAGCTCTGAAGATGTCATACCTTGCGCCCTCTTTTTCTGTGATGTTTCGTCAACTACCGCAACTTGTTCGTAGCTATCAGGAATTGGTTTAGGCTAGAATCCTTCAATTTGGCGCGTTTATCGTCAAAGCTGTTCCACAGCTCGTATTTCTTCACTGAGTTAATGACATGGTCGAAGAAATTTCTGAGGCAGCTGCGGTTTAAAGATGGGCTGGGATCATATCCGAAACCCAGCAATTTCAGGAAAAATTCATGTATGACTGCTGTGAGCAACCAGTTAGAGACAAACTGTACCCTAATTCCGGGGGCAGGGAACGGGGCAGTGGGTCTTGGTACCCGAAATTCGTCTCAATAATCCACCCTTGCTATCTCGAAAGTGCAGCACTTGCGTCGATACAAGATCACACAGCGAAACACATACTTGGCGACATAAAACAGCCAAGAATGAGAGGGCGCAGACAATTAGCGCGTTTGTACATGGTTAGGCGTACGCAGAGCGGTAGCGCGTGCGTTGTATAGGGATGGCACCCGACTATCACCACCCTCCAGCCCCGTTTCCCTGCAATTTTGACAGTAGAAAGTTTTGCGCTATTGCAAATGTGAACCCATTCTCCCCACACATGCAAGGACCAGGGCCAGGATCCGCGGTGATGAGAGCACAGTTTGTTTTGAAGCAGGTGGCTAGCTAAGGCCCAGGTAGTGTTGAACGACTAACCGCTCTCATGTTTAGGGGACATATGTCAGCTTCTTAGCTTCTGACCTTTTTCTGAAAAAAGAAAACATGTCTGTGCATCAAAGAAAAGATCAGCTGAGATCTACTAGATTGGCAGGAAAGTTTGTTTGGGAGGGTGTATGTGAGTGTTCTTGCCTAATTTGATCCAGGAAAAAACTTTCAAGTTGTTTTCCACATCCGCTGTTTGCGAGAGATTTGAACCTGTTTTATCACCATATGTCAAATCCTATTCGAAACGGTGCTCCGAAGCTCCGAACAAATCATCTTCAAGTTCAAGAAGGCAAAAAAGACAGCCGTGAATCGAGGAAACTGGATGACGGGAAGTTCGCCACATTCAGGCCATTCCCGTTGCACTTCAACTGATCAGATCCAGCGGATAAAAGTGGATAGAAGTCTCCGTGGGTATTTATGGCAGTACACATATGTATCCATGTATAATCCCAATCCCTGATATGCGGTAGGCGGGCTGTGTACTTCATTTGAATGCGATCGTTGGCGCATCTGCTGAGATATTTTCATAATGGGACGATTGTAATCAAATATTTGTCTAATATAAGACAAGGTGGCTGTCTGGTCTCAAATTGAAATTATCCCACAAATAATCCATACAAATACTCTAATGAAGCACGCAGCCACGCCCACCACATCGCACAGTTATAGAGTGTGCGTTTATATCACAAATGTATGTGAGTCTCTCAAAATATTTCATCTTACAGGTAGAAGAAGTCACTCGAGTGAGAATCGCAGTGGTCAGGGATACCAAGAAGAAGGGAACCAAGGTCATCTTTTGAGTAGGTGAGATGGAAGTTTTTGAAATTTCGATCGTCTGTTTCCGGCCACTACGAAACATTCACTCAAGCACTTTCTTCTCTTTTCTCGGCTGATGAGATTGCGGTCGCTCTTCTAGAGTTTAAGGCCAGTTAGGGCCACTCAAAAACAGTACCCGTACTCCCCATATTCGCTGCTTCTATGAATAACGAAGTGGCTGCGGGTCTTATAAGTGGCAGTTCTGTCGCCTTTCAAGTTGTTCCGCTCACCAAAACTCAAAGGTTGTTTTCTGGAACGGCTCCACTTTTACACCGAGCTTATCGTTTTTTTCACTGATAAATGTTATTAGCACTGGATGACGCCAAGTAATCATCAGTGAGGCAGAAGCGGCGGGATCGCTGGCCAGCCTACAGCTAGCAGTGATGTAGAACTCGTCTAGAGAGGCTGCCAGGTCCTTGCTTGCGGTGTTCTCTGATTTTTTTTCCTTGACTCTTCCTTTAAAAGTTTTTTACCAACTATGGGTTTGTAACCAACTATAGGTTTGTGATTAGTCGCCACCATCCACAATAGGCAATCGCGGGGTTTGTCTTTCTCGTGTGGACTAATGTTTCAAATTTGGTGGACGAAAACACGTCGCACGTTTTAATGGTCTAATACACTCTGTGAGGACGCATTTTTTGCCTTAAGATGTCGCCTTCGATCAAAACGAGCTGCTTGCGACATTGATAGCTGCTTGAAAAACGTTCTGGATCTGGAACTAAACATGACGAATCATCATTGGCATGACACATCTCTGTAGAGGGTATGACTCCTCTCTCTGTCCAACACTAGAACCTCTAGTTTAAGAAATCCTGTTCACTGATAGGCATGGCCTTGAGCCACCCGGAAGATCATGTTAATACCCTCTAATGTGCTTTCAATTCGAACACAAAGGATCATCACTGTTGATTACCTCGTTTTAAGGTCTTTTGGAGGCTACAAGGATTAGCAGCTTATTGCCCGCAAGCTAATCCCTTTGTGCCGCAAGCGTACCTAATTAGGCCTGATTTATGATGAAGTCATGAATTAAACGCAACGTTTTTAGAAGGAATGACCGGTAGATAATTATCTTCACGTCTTAGTGAACAGCTTCAGCTTCTCATCAGCGGATCTTACGCCTTGACCATACCCCTCTTTATTCCGCGGTACCTTTTTGTGCAGTAAGTGGCGATGAGAAGATCAAAAACACGCCTGAATATTCAGTTAAAAAAAAGGATAAAGTCTTCGCCGTTGATCAATCCCTTTGTGGGATGCGGCACGCATTCTACTTCCATTCAGAATCGTAGTGGCTTATTGAATGCGATGTGGCCTATACAATGACTTGCGGTGGCCAGCCGATGTACAAGTCAGTGTTTTATCCTCCCAGACGAATCTGGTACCAATTCACCGTCCCCGGAGGGTAGAAGGCTTGGTTGGCCTGGGCGGGTCGACCCGGGATTCGAACCCGGGACCGCGCGAATGGTGAGCGCCCCACTTGTCACTACACCATCTCCGCCTCGAATATTCAATTATTCACTTAATTTGTGACGAAATAAGCTCCTCATTCGGCGAGATGGACCTGCCACTTGTTCATCTGGTCACGGCCACAGTAGCCCGACCGCACTAAGGGGCGCGATTTATATTTCATTTATTTCGTTTGATATGCCTACAGGTACTCAACCCGTAAAGACAAACCCGATATTGCCAGTCGCCGGTAAAGAGGTTCACGGACCACGTTAGGGGTGCTCAGTGATTTTATCACGAAGGGAAAAATGGAAGATCCCCCCCCCCCCCCCTAAAGCCCCCATGACTGGACGAAATTTCCGCTGTAAGTTGGGCTCAAG